AAGAAGAAGAAGAAGAAGAAGAAGAAGAAGAAGAAGAAGAAGAAGAAAATATCTGCCTGTCTGCCTTTCCGGAGTCCTTGGGAATAGGTGGACAAAAATGCTCAATCCAGCCTTGACTGTGCAATGAATCACAATAAACACATTTTAATCTCAATAAATATAAAACTGGATGCCACCTCCGAAGGGTACGTGAGAGCCCTCAGATATTAGGACACTGCTATCACGTCACCCCCTAGTCCTGCTTTTCCTTAATTGAGATATACCCTACCCAATTCCTGGTATGGATTGGGAAAACATTGAGGGGTGGACTCATTTTGCAACAGCTCACAACAATGCCCAGCCTCAAACCAAGGAATGAAAGGAACGGCTTAATCCATTAAACGCCATCATCCCTCACATTTTCTATTTAAGGAATCATCTCCGAAGCGGATAATAAAAATAAAAATTCATTATAAAAGAACATATAATAAAAATTCATTTTAAAAGAACAGATCGGGGGCTGATAAAATTCATTATAAAAGAACCTATTGGGGGCCAAAGGGGCAGGAGCGGCAACAACGCGGTTTAAAACTAGCTTTCGTCAGGCCCCAAAGAGAGGCGGCATTAAAAGAGGCGGGGAGGACGGACTCTTTACGAATTGACGAAGGGGGGGGGGGATGAGCCCCAAGGACAAAATATTGCTTCTCCTAGGAGGAGAACCCCCATAGGTACCCACCCCACCGCAAGCAATTAAGCCCAAAGATCTGGCAAAAGACTCTCGGCTTAATGGAAGCCCGTTAATGAAAAACGCCAGCTCCCTTTTTCATTAGCGAATACATTTCGCCAACATGTGAAGAACCTCTTGGAGGGGGGGTGTCTCCTACAATTTAAACCCCTCTTGGGAATAACATCGTGGAGATTTTATTACCCCTTTTATCGGAAAGGGTATTGCATTCGTCGGGGCTTAATGTCGGGGCGTCATTAAGACGAGAAACGACGATTGGGATGGCTGCGTTCGTGGTGCTTAAAGAGAGGCGATTCGGGGACACGCGAAATGACTCGGCGGCGTGGAAAAGAATTGCGTTGTGTTCCCCGGGACAGGCCTCGATTCTGAGATTGCAGGGATGACCTGAATCCTTGATAAGAGGAGAGTGTCTTTGGGGGCTCGGGGTCGAAATGAGAGGTCCTTTGGGGGCTCTCTGAGTTCGGTGTTTCTTTGCAGTCGCTTCATTACCCAGCTAGGGAATATCATCAGTGCTAGAAGAGAATGGAGTTTGCGGAAAGGAGGAGGAGGAAAGAGAAGAGGAAGAGGCAGGAGGACAATGACAACAACAACAATTGCAGGGTCCTTGGTGCTCTCTGAGCTCAGTGGTTTTCTTGCTGACGTTTCATGACCACACTAGGTAGCATCATCAGTGCCAGAAGGGAATGGAGTGAGGAGGAGGAGGAGGAGGAGGAGGAGGAGGAGGAGGAGAGGAGGAGGAGGAGGAGGAGGAGGACTGTTAGGTCCCTGTGCTCTCTGAGCTCAGTTGTTGTCTTGTAGATGTTTCATTATCAAACTAGGTAACTACAGCACTGATGACGTTACCTAGTTTGGTAATGAAAGGTCCACCGGAAAACAACCGAGCTCAGAGACCACTGAGGACCTCTCAATCCGGACAGTATCAGTAGAGCCTTGAGAAAGCTCTTTTAAGAAAGAAAATAATGAAACAAAAAAATCTTTTCTTTCTTTCTAGTGTATTCTGACATTACACTGGCGATGGAAACAGACCAGTTTGCTTTGGGAGAACGGCTGTTAAGTTGTGGGCAATGAATTCTAGCTGGACAAAAGAATAAGTATCAACACTTGGTGTGTTCATTTAATGTACTTGTTTGAAAAAAAAATTCTTTTAAAAAGAGGAATTAGCAGAATGGAGAACCCCAAACAAACAAGATTCTTAAATCTGAAGAATCATTGCTGAATGCGTTGCCCAGGACCCCGCCTTTTCCATTTTGCTTCGTGAAAGCTATGGTCTGGCCCAACAGCTGGCTGCAGTGCTCCAGGGTTGATTTAGGACTGTTATGAGTGAAGCACTCCCAGACCAGGAATGTAAACCCTATTCTCTTTTAAATAGTTATGCAAGTGCCTCTAAGGGCTGATCAAAAGGATGATAGTAATGTACTAGAAAATGCAGCACCGGTATAAAACAGCAGGTACTACGCAAACAGTAAGGAGCGTTTAAACATTTGAGCCAGGAGTTCTAAGGTGATGGGACCACCACTAAGAAGGCGCTGTCTTTTGCGCTTGCCAGGCCACGGAACAAGATGAATGGTCAGTCAAGGGTCAAGGGCTGGAAAATCAGAAAGCCAGTTCAAATGTACATAAGGGTTTATTGCAAGCTTAAGCGGTCTACAAGAATCTGAATTACTAGCGGTGCAATTTTGGCGGTAGATAAGGGCCGAAAGAATCCAAGGTGGGCTGGACTTAGATCGCTTGTTCACTTGCTACATGGATACCAAAATGGGGGCGGGGGAGGTGTCTCTCTCCCTTGCTTAGTATCACCAATCCCAACAGTGAGGTTCTTGTTTTCTCTTTTAAGGTTGGAGATTACGTTTTGCAGAGTCTTAAGCAACTGGTCCAGGTCTACCAAGACTTCCGAGGCTGTAATTAAGCACACGCTTATTTTAAAAACAAGCCTTGTTTTATTGGAACGCTGGGGATTGTTTTCATTCTCAGCCGGTAATGAATTCTCAAACAGTCCCTCGAGATAAGCACCCACCTTTCTTTCCTGTGAAGTGCTGCCAACAACAGAAGTGTCAAATGAACTAGAAGAAAAACCAACTGAAGTACAAAGAGCTTCAAGAATGAATCTGAACCGAACGAACGACTTTGCTTCCTGCAAAGGTTTCGTCGCCTTGGCCTGACTTTTATCCCTTATGGGAGGGGCAATCACCTCCCAGCCTTATTCCCGAGTCGCCCCTTTTCTCTCAGCTGCTCTCGCCTTCTGGCAGCTCTGTGCACACGCGCACTGAGAACAGGCTCCCCCGGGTCCTCTTCCTCGCTGCTGCCAGACTCCGGAGGCTCTGGAGTCAGCACCCCACTCCCAGACAGTCCTGGCCCCATCTCTGCATCGGATGTAGGACCCTCATCCGAGGCCTCTCCAGACTCCCGGACTGGCCTTCTTCCTTCCCTACTGTCTGATTCCGCTGCCATCTGCACAGGCTGCCAGCGAACCACAACACAACGGACAGGACTCAATCTATGGGATGATATTTCATTCTATTTCATTCTATTTTCAGCAGGCTTGCTTGTTAACTACAGAGGACCTCAATGCCCCTTCAATTAATTCCAGTAACACTTAATGAGAAAAGAATCAGCTCTGGATGTTATCATAAAAATGTAAGGTATTTACCTGATGGTCATGGGTAGCTGGGCGCGTTCCTTCTGAAAAAGACAAGACGAGGAGTAAATTCACAATGTGTTTACAACGATTGCAGCGTCCCAGGATGATGGGATCACCATTTGAGACTTTCCCAGCCACTTCTGACACGCAAGTCAACGGGGGAAGTCAGAGTCATTTAACAACGGCATGATTTGCTTAACAACTACAGTGGTTCGCTTAACGTCCACGGCCCAAAAAAAGGTCATAAAATCAGGGGTGACTCGCTTAACCACGCTACTCTCTGAAGTCCTGACCCCAATCGCAGTTGTCAAGTTAAGGAGGTGCTGTGATTGTTGCACGCATGTGTCAATTAAAAAAAATACTTCTTTGGTCTTTTTAGTCGCCAGCAGAAAGGGAGTGAGGGGAAAGGAGTGCATTCCTTAAATGCTTCAGATAATTGCTAGGCAGCCGAAGCTGTTGGCAAGCAAGATTATTACTCGAGAACTACGGATGTGTCCCATTGGAGAATATACATCCAAGGGGTGGGGGGGGAAGACCAGGGTCAAGGGTGAAATGAATGATATGTCTTAGAGTCGGCTGCAACCAGGAAACGCCAACATGGTCGCTCCTAATAAATCAATTTTTTTACTCTGAGTGATGAGGCTAGAGACTTACGATTTGAATGGGGGTGCATCTGTTGGAGCCCTGACAGTATGCATGTGTAGATGTAGGTAAATGAAAGAATGCAAGCAGAAATCCTCTGAAAACTCTGACTGAAATACCACTCAGAGGGAAATCCAGCTGCTTCTGCAGTCAAGGAAGGGGACGCAATTCGGCCACCCAACTCAACCTCTTTTTATCTCAGCAGTTATAGCTGGTAGGAGCTGCAGCTGCAACCCCACCGTTCGTTCAGTGCGCTTGCTCAGAAAGCACAGAACTTCTGAGAGAAACCTTTGTGGTTTATTGTGTGCTTGGTCCCGATACCTGGGCGGTTACCGTGTGTGGCATAAGGCATGAAAAAAAGAGAACATCCACAACAAGGCATTATACGGAGCAGACCTCGACGTACAGCGGGTCGTTTAACGAACTGTTCTTCACACTTGCGACCGTTGTGGCATCCCCGGGGTCATGCGATTTACATTGGGATGCTTGACTCATATTTATGACGGTCGTCAGCAGCCCCCCCCCCCCCGGGGTCATGTGATTCCCCTTTGGTGGCCTTCCGGGGAGCAGGATTCACTCAACAACTGGGTGGCTAACTTGACAACTGCAGGGATTCCCTCGGACAACGGTGGCAAGGAGGGTCACGAAACGGGGACAAAACTCAACTCCATGACGGTCTCGCTTAGGAACGGAAATGTGGGGCTCCGTTGTGGTTGTGAGTCGAGGGTGTGACCCGTGTTGCTATAAAAGGAGCCCGCGAGTGAGTTCCAGAGACCGTACCTTGCCGGTGTGTTTTGCCTTTCTGCCTGTCCTGGGTTTTCCTGCTGAACACCTTGTAGGCCTCCGTCTTCTGGTACTGCTCCAGCTCCTTCATGTAGCGCTCCTTATCCCGGTCGGCTTCGTCAAGGTAGCGCTGGAACGACACAACAATCACTCCCCTGTGCTTGGCTGACTGGGTGAGGAAGCCAGAGAGGTGAAATTCAGCCGCCGGATCCGGTTCCCCCAAGAGTGTAAAGCGGGGACGAATACCCCCTCGGTACCGTCCGTGTGTTAATATCAAACTAGAATTTGGCATTTTGTTCGTAGTTGCTCAGCTTCAGGATGTGGGCTGTGCTTGTCATTCCCCTGCATGCGTAAAGCAATCCTGCAAGTCTCCCTGTGAGTGGCTGTGAGTAACTCAAGGGTAGATCTGTCCGAGTGCGAAGTGCCTGCACCTCGGGCTTTACTATGGGTTTAAACTAAAGAAATCTTGGGAAAGAGGGAGAGGGAGGGAGATATAGATGATGGGTAGGTGGGTGGGTGGAGAAGAAGGGAGATAGAAGCAGTAGCAACAGCACTTAAGACTTATATACCGCTTTCCAGCCCTCTCTAAGCGGTTTGCTGAGCCAGCCTCTTGCCCCCAGCCATTTGGGTCCTCATTTTACCCACCTTGGGAGGATGGAAGGCTGAGCCAACCTGGAGCCTGGTAAGATTCAAACTACCAAATTGCAGGCAGCCGGCAGTCAGCAGAAGTAGCCTGCAGTACTGCCCTCTAACCACTGTGCCACTGAGGCTCCTAATATAGAGGATGGATGGATGGATGGATGGATGGAGAGGGAGGGAGGGAAGGAGTGATGGAGTTATAGGTGATGGATGGAAGGAGGAAGGGAGGGAAAGGAAGAGATATATAAATGATGGGTGGATGGAGAGGGAGGGAGGGAAAGAGGAAGGTATAAATGAAGGATAGATGGATGAATGGATGGATGGATGGAGAGAAGGAAATATAGGTGATGGAAGGATCGATTAGGTAAGATTGATAGATGATAGGTAGGTAGGTGATAGATAGATAGATAGATAGATAGATAGATAGATAGATAGATAGATAGATAGGCAGGCAGGCAGGCAGGCAGGCAGGCAGGCAGGCAGGCAGTAGATTAGATATGAGAGAGAGAGAGAAAGAGAGAGAGAGAGATAAGTTGTTGGTATAGAGAGCAGAAGACGCTTATCACAGGTTTAATTGCTCATCTGTCCTCCTGTCTTTGGATGGATCAAGCATCAAAGTTTAGCTTTCCTATCAGCAGTGATGTGTTTGAATCTGGTTCTAAAGAAATCATATCAAAGTTTGCCTGGAGCTGCCTGTCACTTTCCCTTAATGAAGGGAGCCCGGCTGGGCTGCAAAGCTCTTCAAAGGGTGCTGTGAACGGGTGCAGAGAACTTCAAAAAGAGATGAAGACGTGAACGTGCAGATTAAAAGCCCCTCTCCTTCCTCCTCCGCTTTGTTTCCTGCTGCTGTCGGAGCCTCCTATGAGCGATTGCTATGTTGCTCGTAGGAAAGAGCAGCTGCAGCAGCACGGACGACTCGGGAGTAAGGCTGCAAGGTAATGGACCCTCCTTCAAGAAGATAGAACCCAGCTGTGAATCGGACGTTCTTTGCAGGAAGCAAAGACGTTTTGAAACTCAGCCCCGTGGATATTACAGTATCTTAAGTTGGTATTTGAAGGCTCTTGTGTTATAAAATATTTCTTAACTGTTATTCTTGGCAGCCTCGCCCAGTTTTGGCGAGGCTCGTACTTATCAAAGTTAATTAGTTTGCAGCAGCCTTTTAACCGGGGATTTGTAAGACTCATTAAAAGGTTTCTCTTCCCTTTGGTTTGTGTTTGTTTCATTGGACAAGGGTTTGGGTCAGCATCTGACTTACAACAGTTTCCCTAGTGACCGTTCGAAGTTACGACGGCACTGGGGGAAAAAAGGGACTCGGGCCCGTTTTTCACGCTTACGGCCATGGCAGCATCCCCCACAGTCAACGTGGCTTACATTCAGGCGCTCGGCCCCTGGCTCACACTTACGACGGTCGCAGTGGATTCCCCTTTTGCGAACTTCTGACCAGGAAAACGCAAGGGGGAAGTGCTACTCATTTGAGAACCGCAGCGATTCGCTTAAGAAACTGGGGGGGGGGGGGGGGAGAAAAAGTCATAAAAAGGGGGCAAAACTCACTCAAACCGGTTCCTCACTCAGCGACAGGCGTGTTTGGGCTCAGCCGCGGTCGTAAGTGGAGGACTACCTGTGTAAAGGGAAAAGCGAGGCCCGCGGAGGCATTGAGGTCCTGTTGCCAATGAAAATCTGGAATGGGGGGAGGGGATTGGAGCTTGGACCTCTCTGAGCTGGGTTGGTGTTTTGTTTTTTTGCAAACGTCGCCAAGTTCTGCGAGTGGCTTTTCGGACTTGTCACGCGTGGTGTGACCTGCTTTGTATGTCTCCTCCGGCTTCTGTTTGGTCCCTGCGTCCACCAGACGGATTTATTTCCCCCGAGTTTGCAAGCCGCTCAGGAAGGCAAAGGGGCTAACAGGACATTGTCTCTCCTGTACACCCAAGGGAATCCAAGGCCTTGCTTCTGAGGAGACCCCCTTAAAAGACCCCAGGGCCACCAACCGCTGCTGGAAGCGGCTGCTCGAGGGTCGGCTTCCGACAGAGAAGCATTCGCTAAATGAAGCACGTTAGCCCGTCAGCCAACCTCCTTTGGGTTTCGTCCTTTGGACCGAAAAGAAGAACGAGGCCAGGCTCCCACCCACCCACCCACCCCGTTATACGCTGGATGTTTTCTCTACAGGGGCGAGCGGCCGTTCTCAAAGGGGGGGTGAATTGTCCCTTTCGTCCCCGCATTCCCAATCTGCATCCTGTTCAGTCTGTTCTTTCGGTGTGTGTCTCTGTTTTGCCCGAGACACCAGCTGTACCGGAGAATGTAAAGGCGGCAGCGTTCCCTCAGCCTGCCTTGGCATTTCCCCGCGTTCTCCGTGCACCAAGGCACGTTCCTACCTGTCACGCTGCTCAGCTGCCTCCTGAAAGGGCTAACCGGCTTCGTGACATGACCGAAAAACGACAGGTGTCTTTTAGAAAGCACCCTCCCCTGGAATAGAGAGTAGGTGCAGCTCAGGTTTCAACTGTGGTGGGGGTCCTTGGTGCCCTCGGAGCTTGGTGGTTTTCTTGCAGACGTTTCATTGCCCAACTAGGTAACGTTATCAGTGCTAGAAGGGTGAGGGGATTGGGGGGAGGAGGAGGAGGAGAATGGGGGGGGGGGTGTCCTTGGTGCTTTCTGAACTTGGTGGTTTTCTTGCAGACGTTTCATTACCCGGCTAGGGAACATCCTCAGTAATCAAAGAGAGTGGCGTTTGTGGAGAGGAGGAGGAGGAGGAGGGGGGGGGGGGGAGGAGGAGGAGGAAGGAGGAAAGAGGAAGGAGGATGAAGGAAGAAAGGAGGAGGAAAGGAGGAGGAGGAAGGAGGAGGAGGAAAAGGAAAGAAGGAGGAAAGAGGAAGAAGGAAGAAGAAGGAGAAGGAGGGAGGGAGGGAGGGAAGAGGAGAAAAAAAGGAGAAGGAAGGAAGATGAAGGAAGATGAAGGAAGAGGAGGAGGAGGAGGAGGAGGAGGAGGAGGAGGAGGAG